ATGGGTGAAAAAGGCAACTAAATTATAAGGAACAACAGACATAATAAGCACAAGCTCAATGCAAATGTACTTCTTTGAACTGACACAAGAAAATTAGAAAATTTAAAACATCTGTAAGTTAAAAAACTTGTTTTACGTGTTATTTTTAACTATCTGAGGTTGTAGATGCATCAAGATTCAAATTAAGCAACAGGTAAGTGGGTAAATTACAAATTTCTAAATATCACAGGCTCAAATATATTATTTCTTAGAAAGGTGTAAATGCCAAACTGTTCAAAGGAACAGTCCGGACAGAACGCACAATAACATTCAGAAACAAGACACTTAACTATGTAAATCAGACGGAGATCAAATATTTGTGAATTTGATGTAATTTGTTTATCATAAAATTTAATGTAATGCATTTTAAGAATACCTTAAATTGTACTATTTTTGTTTTGTCTTGTCACATAGCTAATGAAGAAGGTACTTTTCTACAAAGGCTCCATAGGCAGATTAAACAAGTAACATACATATCATTAAGACCACATTTGTATTAAAAGGGTTTTTTATTTCACTGGTCTGATGTAATATTCTAATCTTAAATGTGTCATCAGCTGTAAGTTGAAAATCATTATAACTAACAGGGAAAAAAAGCTTGAAAACATCAGTTTTTGTGCAATGAATTTATATAATGTGTTCAGTTACTGGAATAAATTAATTTTTCAATCAAATTCAAACCTATTAAATAGGTTAATAGGTAAATGTGAATGCAGCACCCACTAATACTTATGCTTATCTATGTCATTTCTTGCTCTAACCAAACCAATTTGGAAGCAAGAACAAAAGTTAGACCGAAAGTGGTAATACAACAATAACGCCACAGTGGAAAAGAGAAACCGAGGTCTTGTCTGAAAGTTCAAATGACTGCAACCTCCTATTTCAGAATCCACTGATTCCTGAATGGGGAAATACTTCTAACACCGACTTTCTGTAATGTGCATGAATTTAAAGAAACAAAAGGGGAATTTCTCACAGAAAAATCATATTTCAGATAAAAACATAGATTTATTAGTCACTATTAGTCACTTTGCTCTTCCTTGTTGGAGGAAGAGCAAAAAATTTAGATCTAGACAAGTTTCATCCTGGAGTGTTAGAATATTCATATGCAAACAGTTAATTAAACACCATTTATAAATGGCGTTTAATTTTTACTTCTGTGTTCATGAGCAAAAACAGGCTGAATATAATCTCTACCTATCCAGTAGATGGGGACATTTTCTGCCTTTTGGGTTCTAACAACTGAATGTCTCACCATCCATCCATCCATCCATCCATCCATCCATCCATCCATCCATCCATCCATCCATCAAATTTTAAATGTATCAATTTAAAAAATGGGCAAAAACAGAAAGAAAACCCCAAAAACTGAAGTTTCAGAAAGTAATGAAGATTTACATACAATTTTGAATGAATCTTGAATTACTGACAAAGTTTTATGATTTGCTGTTTGCCGTTTTGCTCAATCCTCCATTATCTGTAATGACAGACAGACAGACATCTTTTAACCCTGCAAATTTGTCCCCCAGGTTCCGGATCTAAGAACGTCCAGCTGCTGATTATGATATTGTGCTGTTACAGCAAATAATCCCCTAAATTTGATCAAATATTTTGACTTACTAGAAAGTTATTGGTTTATCTGGGACTGTTAAAGAAGATGATAGGGGTTAGTAGCACAAAGAAAATGTTATTGGTAGTTTTTTTTTAGCATTACCATTTCAACATAATTACACAAGTTCCTTAGCAAACGATAAATTACATCAGAATATAGATTATATAAAATAAAGTGGTGAAAGGTTAGAAAAGGTTTGTTTTGTTGTTGTTTTTTTGATTAGTTTTTTTTTTTTTTTCCTGCATAGAGGCGTCTTATGTAGTTGTGGTCATAGTAAAAGCTGCATGAAGCAGCTCTCAGTGCAGCTACACAGGTAAATATTTCCCTGAGTGCTGATTAGGAGAGGGTGAGGCTGTCATAATGACTGTTTCCACGGCAGTGCTGCGTGCTGCTAGGATTTTGCTCTTCATTTCTAATGGCCCAAACACAGACTGCATGCTGAGGCTGCGTATGTGGAATTTCCTGTTGTGGCTCCTTGTGGCCTCCACGGCAATGGGCCTGGTTTCATGCATTATGGAGAGAAAGCGGCTTCCTATACCTGACGAATATGTCCTGGTGCAGTGGCAAAATTTATACAGCAGTGAGTCTATATAATTTTAACCTAGTTACACAATATTCAGGCCTGCATCCCATGAGGCGCAGCTGTCCTTCCAGCCATCACAGTTAATCAGTGACAGCAGGCTGATTAAATGTCATCATGTTTTCCATCTTTCTTGCTCCTTTCCATCCATCATCCTTGACAGACAACTGGGATATAAAGGTAAATGTAACTTACAGAGCCTCCTTTTTCGTTAACGGGTATAAATAAAACATAGAAGCGTACTAATAGTCATCGCTATTATGCTTCAAGGTGAATGTTAGCCAAAGGAGAAGAAAAAGACTGTTTAGTTGTGGGAAATGCCGTGGGTTCGGGCTTTTTAACACAACAAGGAAAACCTCATAAACTCAAAACTTATAAAAGTACAAAGAAACAGGGAGAGAATTATTCATTCATAACTCTAACTGTAGTAGCAGTAGTGACTGTATTTGGGTGTGCAAAGTCACAGGCTGTGCATGAATAACAGCTACTTAGAGCTGATCGCCCGCCATGCCCATCTGCTGAAGAGAAGTGCGTTGGCTTTGGCAACTATCCAGGGAGTCAGTCCTGATCACCTCATGCTGTTCATAGCAGGTGGCAATTACATTAATGCTGCTATAAATAGATAAGGTGTATTACAGAACAGGGGTTTAATGAAAAAAAAAAAAAACTAACAAAAAAAAAACCCCAAAAATCTTTAAGACTCTCCTGTCAGTCTGTGTTTAAAATCTAGAAGCCATATGCTCATGTCTTAAAATTACTGATTTTTAGGCCATGGGTGCTGCAGTGAGAACAAGAGGTGTTGGGTTGTGATTGGCATGTCACTTTAAAAGGACACTACTGCCCTCTAGCGTTTGTAAGGACATAAAATTGAAAAATTGACAGAGCGCTACAGTCCTTAAAATAAAATTCACGTGGTCAACATGTGGGCTAGAAGGCTGCAGATGGCAGCACAGAAAGGTCCTCAGCTCGAATTGTTGGAGTTTTAAAAACTTGTGTGTTGGATTTATTTTGAGGATAGAAAACAGCAGAACTATTGTTGGTAATTTCTTCAACCTTTGGTTACACAAGGTCTCTCTCTCTCTCTCTATTTTACATGGTTCCCAGTTTCCCGATGCATTGCATGATGATGGGAATACAAAATAATTATGAATGGTTGGAAGAACAACCTTGCTCTTCCTCTGTTTTCCTCCTCAGACAATTATTGTATTAATGCTATCAATTAAGATAGTTACCAGTATACGAGGCAACTGCCATTCTTCTAAGAGAAGCACACTGTTTAAGATTCACTATGTGTGTGTGTCTTAGTGTTTTTATGTCTGTGACCCACATGAACTGTTCATGCCTCAGCAGTGTGAGTGTGATAAGGTTTTACTGAGTGACCTTGTGGTGCAGCAGTATCAAAACACTGTTTTACACACTGATTCTGAAGAAATCTTGGCCTTTTAAAAGAGTAACAAATCACACTTGCACCTTAGCATCTACAAACTGCTATTTGAAAGACAAATTTTGCACAGATTTTTACAGAATGGAGCTCAGATGCTCCATTCTGTAAATGCTTGGTGCATGTATGAATTCTCTGTGGGTACTCAAACGTCCTCCAATAGTTAAAAAAAAAAAGCATGACTAAATTATTGCAATTGAAGGAAAACAATGCAAGATTTTCATAATTATTTTACTTAATAGTAATCTGGGAAATCTATCATGCTTTTCTACTAAGCTCCCTTCAGTTTAAAATAAAACCTTCTCCAGCTGGCTCTCTTCAGACCCTGACCAGTGTCCTGTGTTAGTCGGTAATCATTATATTGCTGGTTCACTGGTGTTTTTATAAAACAAATCTCCTACAGAACAAAAAATGCATTAATGTCAAGATTAAATAACAAACACGTGGGCTTTGATAATTATTTCTGATGGCAATTGGTTGCACTTTAATTCATTTAAGGGTATCAGTGTTAATTAGGTTGAAATGAATATCCACACAGCTGTTAATTAATAAAAAAAACCGTTTTTTTTTCTTTCAATGTTGTGTGTTTATATCATGTTTTAACTCTATCATCTCTCCATATCATTAAACTGTAATTTGTATTTTCTGTCTACAAGAAAACATTTTTATTGTCTTTCAGTATCTTATACATTTTTGATGAGTTTCTGCTTTCAACCAAATACTTTAATTATATCAGTGGACTTATATTTACATAAGTCCACCTATCTCATAAAATAATGTATTAATCGTGTTTACAAAACCATTAATAATATGTTTCATATTAATACTCACTGCTACCAACTAAACTATCTTGAATGCTTCTGAGTCTTACCAGCTACCTAGTCGTAGGTGTCCACTCTACACAGAGTAAATTAGATTAAATAAATTGATGTTTTTCCAGTGTCACTTTCTTTTAAATACAAAATATACTGCTGTTAGAAAAAAAATACACTTAATACGATTACTCAAGCTAAATGTTAGATTTTTAAAAATAAACTGACTTACAACGAAAGCTGAAAATACTTTAAGGCTATTTACTCATCTTTAGACAAACGTAAATTTGTGACGGGGGGAAAAAATTAAAAAATAAAACGACGTCACAATCTCATCTTATCGGGAAAGCTAAATAGTTTTAACTCCTCTTTGTTCTGTGTACGTAATTTTCTAACTGTTGCGTAAACTAAGCCTGACAGTTTATGCTGAGGGAAAACTATCCCACACATGAACCAATCAGAAACGGTTACGAACTTCATATTGTTTTGCTATATTTCTAACCAATAGGCACAGCTTTTCATTAAGCTTCTGACCAATAATACGCGAGATTACTCAGATGTCTCCAAGAGGAAGTCTGATGTGTACACATTCGTGCCGACGGAGAGAAACAATCTTACTCAGAAGGTTTCATCAGAATTTGTTGTGAAGCGCTAACTGAAAGAAACAAAGTACAACAGAGACGTAAATCAAAACAGCTAGCGTAGGTTTTTTAAAGTCTCCGGTGACTAGGCAGGTGTTCATTCTGGTCGGGGTTTCCCTCCTCTCAGCCACCCTTCGGCTCTAGATGGGGGGCTGTTAGCGCCGAAGGATGGAGGATTTAACTTGGGATCACCATGGTTGCTGTGACGGAGTGGTGCTACATCAGCGGCCGCCGTGTCCTCGGAGGATGGGGCCCGCTGCTGTGCGTGGTTTTCGGCTCTCTGGTGGCCCTACTGCTTCCCCTGATAGGGTTGCAGAACCAGTGCTGTGGCTCCACGAGGGGCATCAGCCAGCTCCGCTGCCAGCTGTGGGGGAGCTCACAGCCTCCTCCAGCTGTGCAGTCCACCAGCCTGACTGTCCCCTTCACTGCCCTGGATGTGCTGCCTCAGAGGACCAAACCCAGCAAAGGTACGGATGGCCTATTAAAGGCACTGGGAGTTTTTTTTTTTTTTTTTTCCTGTTTGAATCAATCTACTGCAGCTCGAGGTCGAAGCTCTACCCCAGACTTAAATCTTCGATGTCCTCAAACAGTTTGTTTTCTCACCATTGCCAAGGATTTGGCTCCATCCATCTTCTAAATCAATCTTCTTGTCTCTGCTAAAGAAAAGTATCTGCATTGTGTGATTATATTGAGAATAATGGACTGTGTGAGTTTTCCTACTGCATCCTGTTTTACACATGGACCACAAAGTTTAATATTTTGGTATCCAGTGACCAGAGTTCAAACTGTTAACAACAATTCAAATTGTAATCGTACCACAACTAAATTACGCAGGTGACTTTTTGAAGGTTCTTAGTAGTCCTCACTTGTATGTAGGGGTATCAAAGTAAAAGGAAGTGATTATAATTGTTGACCACACTTTTCTGATTTTATCAGTTTAGAAAAAGTTAAAAATGATTAAAGTTTTTGGTTGTAATGTGACTAAAATAACAAATAAGAGTAATTAAAAACGTGTCTCAATGAGTACTTTGTAATAATTGTTATTCTGTACCCCAAGAATCTAGTTTCCTGCTGTATGTTTCACTTGCATCATTTCTGTTTTCTGAATGCAGAGACAGAGCTGGAGGCCAAAGCAGCGCTGCAGCAGGCTCTGGAGATGAAGAAACTTGGGAAGAGGGAGAAGGCTCACAAGCTGCTGGTGCACGCTCTTAGTATGAATCCTGACTTTGTGGACGCTCTGACGGAGCTGGGGACCATACTGGAGGAGGAGAAGGATGTGGTCCAGGCGGACCACCTCTACACCAAGGCCTTGGCCCTCTCACCGTGTAACGAGAGAGCTCTGGTCAGTAGAGACCGAACCCTTCCCCTGGTGGAGGAGATCGACCAGCGCTACTTCAGCCTAATCGACAGTAAAGTGCGCAGGCTGATGTCCATTCCCAAAGGCAACTCGGCGCTCCGTCGAGTGATGGAGGAGACGTACTACCACCACATTTATCACACCGTGGCGATAGAGGGCAACACCCTCACTCTGTCCGAGATCCGACACATCATCGAGACGCGCTATGCCGTACCCGGTAAGAGCCTGCAGGAGCAGAACGAGGCCATCGGCGTGGATGCAGCCATGAAGTACATCAACACCACGCTGCTGTCCAGATCAGGAGCCATCACCGTCGGCAACATCCTGGAGATTCACCGACGAGTGCTCGGCTACGTAGACCCTGTGGAGGGCGGTCGGTTGCGGACCAGCCAGGTGTTCGTGGGCCACCACATCCCACCACACCCCAAAGACCTGCAGCGACACATGGACGAGCTGGTCCAGTGGCTCAACTCTGAGGAAGCCCTGCAGCTGCACCCCGTGGAGTACGCAGCTCTGGCCCACTACAAGCTGGTGTACATACACCCATTTGTAGACGGGAACGGACGCACGTCCCGGCTGCTCATGAACCTCGTGCTCATGCAGGCGAGATATCCGCCAATTACCATCCGCAAAGAGCAACGGGCAGAATATTACGCCACTTTGAACACGGCCAACGAGGGGGACGTGCGTCCCTTCATTCGATTCATAGCCAAATGCACGGAAATGACACTGGACACGCTGCTGATTTCCACAACGGAGTACGCCGTGGGACTCCCAGAAGCCGACCGGAACCAGGCCTGTCCCAGCTGCAAACAGACCATTCCAGCCCACAACTAAACCGGAGAGAAGAGGGAGCATGATGTACTCTTGCACCACCGTGCACCGTTTAATTTAGAAGTTTTTCTGTCTGTAGTTTCTTCTAAATTATGGTGTTCATTTGGCCAGAGTCAAACCATTAAACATCTTGCAAGTATTTTATTTTTCTTTAAGTGCAAACGGAAGTTTTGACTACTAACGTGAGGAAATTATTTAATTTTTAAGCTGCAATTTAAAAAGTGTTTAAATATTTGCCTTGAGGAAAAGTTGTTTGCTAATACTGTGAAGCACTTTCATGTATTTATTTTAAAATAAAAGTAATTGTTTCTTTACCATGCGCAAACCCCTTTTGACATCGAATGAGATTTTGGTTATAAAATGTCTAACAAAGATGCACAGGAGCATCTTAATTCAAATATTGAAATTATTTTCTTATGTTATTAGATGAGTGCAAAAATGCATGTCAAGTGTTTAGTTCTGTTAATATTGACTCATATTATAAAAACCTTAAATTTAGTTAAAATATACTAAAGTGTTCAAATGACAAAAAAAAATCCTGATACAGTAAAAAGTGCTCTGTTGGGTTTCCTTTTACATTCATTACTGCATGAATGTGTTGAGGAACAGAAGCAATGAATCTCCATTCTTCTGCCCCAAACTCTTGAATGGGCCTTGCTTCACAGTCCTTTCAAAACAGTTATCCTTTTTGCTGGTGCACCTTTTTCTTCCACTTAACTTTCCATAAATATGCCTGGATGTTGCATCCTGTGAACAGTGAGCTTCTGTCAAGCAGCTAGTCTTTCCCATCAATGTCTAGGCCTTAATTCTATAATAAGTACATCATCATATAGAATGTAAAAGAAAAAAAATCATTCTTTTAGAAATGCAAACTTCCAGAGTACTCAATCCATTACATTAATTTTAAAATATAATATACTAGGCTCACATAGATGAAAAGATGAAATGAACAAAGAAAATTTGCGGAAGAGACGTCAGGGCATAAGTGAAAAAGGAAGCGTGGCCAAATAAGTAATACCACCACGAAGGAGGGCAGGAGGGATGGACTGACCCAATACATGCAGAAAGACCTCAATCCACAGTTTGAATCCAGAACCTCCTTGAAGCCCAACTAATGAACTATTGGTCTTGTGTAATATTCAAATCTCCAAAAAAAAAAAAAAGTGAATTTAAGGTTTTCATCAACCACAAAAGCATTATTAAAAATGTATGCAATTAATCTATACGGTTCACTTTTTGATCACTACTAGAACATGAACTTTTCCATGGTCTAATTGATGCACCTGCAAACAAACTAAAATAAATTCTGAAAGCCTTTTATTCTTTTCAGATCCTCCAAATTTAAAACATGAACTTTAGAAATCATACAAAACAGCAAAACTCACAATACAACCATTTAGTACTGGACATTAAAACAGAAGATGACTTCAGACTGGTATTTACACTTTTAGTTCACTCTAGACATAGGGCACTGTGGTGAGAGCAACACATACCATCTGTAAATGTAAATCTGCTTTTATTACAAACTAAGGAGACCTTTGTTTACTGAACAGTATGTACAAGAACCCAACCTCTTCACCCCGACATGGAAAAACTGCATAGATTCTCCAAAGACCTACGTGTGAGATGACAGCCGTCGTTTGTTTTAGTGGGTTACCGTGGAGATCCTTTGACATGATTAAGGACGAAACGAACCTCTGAGGACAAAACCCGGGACTGAAGGGCACAGCGTCACCTTTCCAGTCGCACTTTCCCTTTAAAAGTTTCTCGCAACTCCGTTTACCGTTTATTTTCCCCACAAGCTGTGAAATTAAATTTACTCAACAGCTTCTCAAAACTAATAAGAAGTTCGTCTACAGACTCTTGGAGCGCCACGCGGTCGGACAATCGGTGAGCTGTTGATCGTCACGGAGTGAGCAAATATCTTGAAATACTAAAAACTTCACAGCAAGAAGGAAATCCAGTTCAACTCCGATAAATCCCCGCTTGGGCCGTAAACAAACATCGGTTTCTGAGACGTAACCGACTTGGTAGCGGACGCTGTTTTCTGTAACGACTGAAAGGATGCAATAAAACCGATAAAAGATAGGACAGTGTATCTGGAACGGCTCAATGACGACAGAAAAATCCAGCTTCAGGAGTGTCACAGCTTCTCTACTGTAAAACAAGCTCTCACAATAGATAAAAAAAAAAAAAAGTTAATCCGTATTAATTTGATGGATCAATTAGGTGCACTCCGTAATAACTTAACAATGACTAGTAAAACCACGCATCTGTAAAAAATATAATGGCTAAACATGTTTGATGCGTCCTAAGTAACACAAAATTAAAACGTCACCAGAGCACGTCCACATTATGTACACACAAACTATATTACACCATGTCAGAGCCTTTGCATATACTTTTTTTTTTTTCCCCTTTTAAATCAATACAAGTTCGGCTGTTTTGAATATTTAAAAAATACTCTCAAGTAATCATCTATCAGATCCTTTAAACAGCAAGAAACAAAAGCAGAAAACTCAACAGCTTCACATATTTACACACAAATATAATACACTTTTCTTTTTTCTTTTTTTTTTTATACATATATAAACCAGTCTGGCAGTCAAACAATCAGTCACACCGGAGAAAAAATAAAAATTCTGTTTGTTTGGGTCTTTGACGGAGGGAAGGTGCATGACTGTTAAGGCAATCTTGCAGAACGGATGATGAAGGTGTGAGTGAGATTAAAGGGACTGTCAGGAAACCAACTACAGCAGAAATCACCAACACTAATTTGTAAGGACACAGGATGGCTTTCAGCAGGAGGAGTTCACAGCTCCCCTCGGTTTCGCTCACTTATTGAGAAGCATCTTTGCGAAGTCTGAATTTGACAAAGACCTCGGCTCTCCGGCCGCGTTGGCCGCCGTGCTGCCTGATGGCGGCGGCGGCGGCGCTCGCTCTGCTGCAGTCCCGTTCTCCACTTTGCCTGGAGGCGCCGGTTGGCGGTGCAAAGAGCGAGGGAGTAAAGAGAGCTGGGTGCGTCCTCTCCCTCTCCTGAAACGGGGAAACGTGGAATCAGTTTTAGGAGCTGCAACGACAAGCAACACGCTGGAAATGCGGAAGAAATGCTGGTGAACTTACGATCCGTAAGCCTGACGAGGCATTATGTCTCCTGCGGGTCGGCTGGAGCCAGGCTTATCCGTCAGGTTTCTGCGTGGGGGGTTGCTAATGGCAACCGAGATTTTGTTACCCTCCACATCGATGCCGTCTAGTTTCAGCACCGCCTGAGACGCCTGCGTTTCATCTGCAAACTCAACATATGCCAGACCCTGCAAAGAGAGGTCAGTGCATCACAAACATGGCTCTCTTGGATATTTTAACTCTTCTGGCTTCTTTTATTGGATCTTGACAAAATATTCACAGCCACTGACCATTTCCACAATTTATGGCATCATAACCTCAAAATTCAATGCAATTTAATCTGTATTAATGTGATAGACAAACACAAAGTAGCACAGAAGTTTTTGTCCTACGTTCCAGAGGCAGAAAACTAATACTTCAGGGAATTGCTGCAGAAAATTGTTTACATCAGAGTATATTTATGTGTGATATCGGCCTAGTCAACACTGAAAATCTAATCTAGAAACGTGGCAACACTTAAAATCTGCTGTTTACTGTTACTGATCTGAAGTCTGACGTCGCATAAGCAATTTAGTTAAGAAAAAAAAAAACTGCGTCAAACTCCTCGAGGAACACAGAAGTTTAAACTTGTAACGCATCAAAACGTGGACAAGTTCAAAGGGCGTGAATACTTCTGCAAGAAACCGAATCTCTCACCTTCGGTTTCCCTGAGCGGAACGTGACGAGGCGAACGTCTCTGATGCTGCCGTGAGGTTTGCAGATCTCAGCCAGCTCCTCTTTAGTGCAGGAGAACGGCAGCCCAGAGATGAAGATTTTGTGTTTCTCCATCGATGTGTTGTACTTAAACACCTGCAGAGAACATCATTGTGAAAATGTGTTAAGTCTTCCCTCCCTAGGTAAACAGAAAACAATTGGGGAGTGGTTTCAAGGTACAACAACATTTTGACATGTTCACCATGTAGCAGGACTTTGTTCATCAAAATAATTTGAAGCACACATATGAATTTTCAGTGACTGGCTGCCCAATGAAAATTAAGCATTTTTGAAATCGAATGTGTTGTCAAAGGGACTTTAAGGTTTCAGTGTTGCTTTAAGTTTTAATCAACTTAAAGCAACAAAGGAAATTAACTCTTTTGTCCATTATATCAAAAGGTGTTCCAAGTTTCTGTTTTTATTTTTAACATAAAAATCTAAATGTTAAATGGGAGAAAAACAAAAATCAACACGACCCAGGAAAATTAACTTTCATGTCGTTTTTTTTAAATTAATAATTTTACATTTGCATAAGGTGGTAAATGTGATCCATTCCATAAACACTGAACTGGGAAGACTTTCTGATGATATTAGCACACATGTGTTCTCACCTTAAACTCGGGATTTTTGGTTTTGTCAACACAAGGTGACACAAACATGGGTCTGCCCTCCACCTCCTTCCTGTCCAGCTTCAGAGCTTCGGGGACCGCCGCCGCCGACTCAAACTGGACGTAGCCGTAGCCTCGGGAGATCCCTCTGTTGCCGGTGATCAGCTGGACCCGTCGGATCGGACCGCAGCTCTCAAAGAGCGACTTCAGCTTGGCCTCTGGGTCCTCCAGGGTGTACGCCAGGTTGCTGATGAACACGCTGCAGCTGTCGTCTCGCAGCTCACGCCGGTCGTCGTTCTGCCTCTGGGCGGCGACCGCTGACCCCTGCTGGGCATTCCTAGCTCCACCCGGGCCAGGCTTATTCCCAGGAGTGGCGTTCCTCCCAAACAGTCCGGTCTCAGTCTCCATGTACTCGTCTGGGTTGTTGTCACCGTTTCCTCTCTGCCTTTTAGGAGCTTGTAAAATACAGGTAGGAGAGGGGGGGAGTCAACATTTCCCTGAATCGGAAAATAAAATGTAGGTTATTTTTCTTTTTTAAATCACTCAAACATTTTTACCCGATTCCTCAGTCCAGTCCCCCTGATAATCATCTTGCTCTGCTTTTCTCTTCTCCCCGCCTCGACTTTTCTTCTGGGCCTTTTTTTCTGCCCTGGCCTTCCGCCGCTGCTCCATTTTATCCTCCTCGTGACGCGCCAGGTTGGTTTCTTTCTCTGCCGCCTGACAGATGGGCAGAACACGGAAACGTCAGCCGAACACAGCTGCATCAGCACGGTGTGCAGGTGCACAATAATACAGCGATGCTGCAGGGCCGTCGTACGCTCCTACCTTTGCTCGCTGCTCA